CCGTTGTGTTTCATAATATACTAATCAAACATTGCAAACCAGCAATGGCCCAAAGTAAACAACTAAAACATATTTAGCACCAGACCAAAAGTATTTTAGCAAATATTTACTGAGCTATATTTCGCCTAGCACTAATTCAGAACTATACACTACTCTATTCTCAGAGTTGGGTAAGTTGTATAATTTATCTATATAGACCCATATGAAATTTTATGCACTGACTAAGCTGTATGAGGTTTTATCTTGGAAAAAGTCATTATTCTCTTTAGAACTCAGTGTTTTCATGTATAAAATGGAGATGTACTCTGGGTCATTTATCTAAAGGTCCTTCTAGTGCCAACCTAAGTGTGTTTGACTTTTGAGGAATTGCGACATTTTTCATATTTCATCTAGCTTAGTCTCCTATTTGCATACTAAATGATCTAAACAGTTCTGCCCAAAATAGTTTTGTCTGTCCTATTGCAATGTTCTAGTAATTTAACCGTTCTGAGTTAAATTCATAGGGTACATTTAAAAGCAATTAACACATGGCATTTATTCAGTACCTGTGGCTTTTAAATTATTTCAAATTGTATCCGCATACTTTTATGGGTAAGTAAGTAAGGCATCATTATCTCTAATTTATAGGTGAGAAAACTAAAATCCAGAGAAATGGATGGGGCCTCCTGATTCCTGATCAAGTGCATGCTTTTAGCAGGATCCTACTACAGGGACACCACTAAGCGAACTTCCTTGATTGCTGTTAACAATGCCCACTGCGGTTCATTTCCATGTAAGTTAATGCCCCTGAAGGGCGAAGCAGAAGTGATGTCAGCCCCTCTGTCTCCTGCTCTGCAGGGACTAGAGGAAGCTGCCTGCCAGAAAGTGTGACTCCAGGGATTGGAGCCTAGGGATGCCACTGCCAACAGTTTCAAATGAGCTACCAACGGGAAGAGGGAGCCCAGAGAAGCATACAGAAGGAACGCAATGACATAAGCATGAAGAGGCACATCAAAGGCGAAGACCAGGGAAGCTACTGAGCTCAAAAAGGAGCCTCCATGAAGAACAGTGAAGAGCACAGAGAAGTTGAGGCAAGCAGCAGACAATGGCCTCACAGTAGATTCCCAGCCAGCTAGTGGTCTCCAGCAGAGAGGGCTCCAAAGGGGAAGTAGAAGCATAGTAACAGAAATTGTTCTGAGACACATTTATTAAATGCATGTTAGAGATGCTGGGAACAGAGAAAGCACATTAGGCTCTCTTAATGGCATTATGCTTTACAAATACCTGGGGAGGGGTGAGTGTATTCCACTTACCAAAGGCAAATGTCCCTCTTGGAGTTTCCTGAGACACAGGAGTTTTAGGATCTACCTTAAGCTTAGTTCAGTTCATACAGGGTTTGAAATGGTCAAATGAAGCTAGCCAATGGCTACTAGTGTCCTTTTTTCCCCAAGACTTCTTGTCAAAATTCCTTCCTTTTCCCTTACACGGATGAACATATCACATGCTAATATTATAATGTGGTACTAACTAAAATGTATACACCAAATAACTGGAGTAGTTTTAGTTGTTGATGGGTAAAGCAGGGTATTTTTCTCTCTCTCCAGGGGTAAATAGTATCATTTCTCTGTAGAGAAAATAAATTATAAAAGTGAATGAAAACTGAGATGTCAAAGTAGCCAGATGGAAAGGAAAAAACATACAGTACAAGAGATAATTGGGACTAGGAAGAAATATTGATTTTCTTTGTGTAAGAACAAAACTTAAAATGAGAATTTATATAGATGCAAAAGACACTGGTATTTCTTTTGGTGGGAAATCCATACCTACCATTCTCTCCACTTTTTTTTTAGTATTCTATGGCATATATTCTTTTTTATTTATTTTTGTACCTTAGGTTTCATTTAATGAGAAACTGAGACTAGAAATTTTAAGAGATTTGTCCAAAGTAATATTGCTCATAAGTAGTGATGGTGCTGAAATTCTTAGGATTTTGAAAGCCAGATTACAAGATCTAATTGATATTATTCTATTCAGTGTCTAAATAATACACTGATCCAGGCAGAGGGAAATGCCTTTGCTCAATACTATCTGAGAATCTTTCTGTGAAAGGTATGCTACAAATGGGATGAAAAGGAAGATGACACAAAGCCCCTTTAGGAGCTCACAGCCTAACGGGGAAATTAGACACATGCACAGGGACATGCTCATAGCAAGCCTATCACAGAAACATGAATGGAATACTATGGAGGCTGTCAAAAAATTGAGTGAGCATTTGGAGAAAAGAGAGGAAATCCTTTACTGAGTAGTTGACATCTGAATGGGATTTTGAAAGGTCAGTGGAAACTGTTCAGACATCAGAGGAGCAAAGCCATTCCAGATGAAAGGGCTACTGTGTAAGGAAGCAGAAAATGTTTGGTTAAGGCACAGTTATGGGATGGAGTGCTGAGGGGAGGCTGGAGAAGTAGGTCAGCACGGCCAAGCCAGCAAATTTGCACTTTCTCCTTGGGCAATGTGGTACCATGAAAAGTTGGTAATAAAGGAATTGCCTAAGAAATCACTAAGAATTGCCTCGAAAGTTGTTTCAAAATAGATTTTATAGCTACCTTGTGAGAGATTATTCCATTTCTATACAGTTTAAACTCTTATTTAGGGGGAAAAACTGTTTCAGTTTCCCAGGGACTCTTTTAGGTTTAGCACAGGAAGTCCCAAGCCCCGGAAATTGCTCAATCCTCAGCAAACTTACTGTTATTATTACTTTTTTTTGTCTTTTTTAAAGTTCTGGGGTACATGTGCAGAACCCGCAGTTTTGTTACATAGGTATACACGTGCCATGGTGACAGCAAACTTATTTTTACTGAGAAGCATAGTCTCTGTGGCACTAAAGATTGAGGGGGTTTCAAGATGGATGCACAGCGATCCATAGTGTAGAGGGGAAAGAAGTAGCCAGAGGGTAGGCAGCTGCCACTGCAGATCCCTCGCCCACCAGGAGCCCAGTTGGAAGCCCCATTTCCTTCCGCATCCTCTGAAGCCTTCTGAGGGATTCAACATCATCCCTGAACCTTCTTGAAGGTGACACACCATTTGGATATCTGCCTCCAATTTGTGAACAGACTATCAGAGTAAATATTGATGGAAGGAAAGTGACACTAGGAAGAACAGCTCACATTGCCTCTCCGTGTCCGGGAGAGCTCTGGCATGCCTCAGTTAGTTCCCTGATTTCTCTCTTCCACTGTGGCTGATTGTGATTTACCAGTAATCCTGGGAGAAGAAGCCCTTTGTGATGCTGCTTCAAATTTGCAGGTGTGTCATCGAGCACTGAACAGCTCGCTAGAAACCACAGGTTCACCTCTGACTGGAGCCAAATGCAAAGATAGAATTTGTCTAATATGAGATTACAATATAAAAGGATATCTATCTATCTATCTATCTATCTGTCTATCTATCTATCTATCATCTATCTATCTATCCATCCATCCCCTCTCTCTTTCATTCTTGCTACTGGTCTTTATCAGTCTCTCTCTTCACTCCCCCTCAACTTCTGATTCTGAGAATCTAAGAAGAGTGGGGTGCCACTCTTCTTAGTCTTCCTTGTCATCTACCTCCTCACTGTCTCTGGAAATGGGCTTATCATCCTCACTGTCTTAGTGGACATCCAGCTCCACCGTCCCATGTACAACAAAATGAGATTACAACATATATTTGATAAAAAATGATAGCTAATGTTGATTGAGTGCTACTGTAAATTATGTGAATTAATTAATTTAATCCTTACAATAATCCTGTGAAGTAGACACTATTATTGTCCCCACTTACAATTGTAAAAACATATTTTAAAATGTGATTACCAATTAGTATAAGTGAACTAGATCTTTGAACCCAGTAAGACTTCAGAGACCATACTCATAAGATACAATATATGATACTCATAAGATACAATATAAGATACACCCTACTGTGTGGGTATACAGGTAGATGGATGAGTGGATAGATGGAAGGATGAACAGATGGATGAATGGATAAATGGACTGTACTTTCCAGAAGTAGAGAGAATAAAAGGCAACGCAGTGCCTTGGGGCTAAGATTTTGTACTGCTTTACTATTCTGAAAGATTTTAAATAACATGTGAATTTTTATATAGGTTTTTTGAAAAAAAGATATTTTTAGCTAAAACTTCAGAGATTCCAAATGTATTAGGTTTAGTGTGCAGGTCAGATAGTATATTTTTTTAAAAACCTGAAAAATATTTTATTGGGCACACTTAGACAGGAAATATAATCACAACTCTGATGTTCCTAGAAAATAAGTAAGATGCAAGCTAACTCTCTGTACAGATCAGATCAAACTGAAGGAAAACAGTGAAACATATCTTCCTTTATCAATTAATTTAGGTCTTGCATGATTATACTTCTTCCTGATTGGAAAAGAAGATTACTTCTTCTGTGTGTGGTCTTTCCTTCACTCTCGTAAATTGTGTACGCATCATCAGTTACCTTTAAGCTTGAAGAGAACAACTGCTCCCTGACACCAACCAGCATCTCAGAATCAGGAGTTGTGGGGGGAGTAAGGAGAGAGAATGATAAAAACCAGTAGCAAGAATGAAAGAGAGAGGGGATAGGGAGATAGATAGATAGATGATAGATGATAGACAGATAGATAGATATTCTTTTTTTTTTTTTTTTGAGACGGAGTTTCGCTGTGTTACCCAGGCTGGAGTGCAATGGCGCGATCTCGGCTCACCGCAACCTCCGCCTCCTGGGTTCAGGCAATTCTCCTGCCTCAGCCTCCTGAGTAGCTGGGATTACAGACATGCGCCACCATGCCCAGCTAATGTTTTGTATTTTTAGTAGAGACGGGGTTTCACCATGTTGACCAGGATGGTCTCGATCTCTTGACCTCGTGATCCACCCACCTCGGCCTCCCAAAGTGCTGGGATTATAGGCATGAGCCACTGCGCCCGGCCCGATAGATATTCTTTTCTGTCCTTATTTGGGAGTGACACAGAATTGATGTGCTGCACCTAGAGATTTTACAGGGATATTGACCATCTCCATCTGTTACTTCTTTTGGCAGATGCGAATGGCAAGGAAATGCAAAGTGGAAACCAGACTTCCGTGTCTCACTTCATTTTGGTGGGTCTGCACCACCCACCACAGCTGAGGGTGCCACTCTTCTTAGCCTTCCTTGTTGTCTACCTCCTCACTGTCTCTGGAAATGGGCTCATCATCCTCACTGTCTTAGTGGACATCCGGCTCCACCGTCCCATGTACGGGTTCCTGTGTCACCTCTCCTTCTTGGACATGACCATTTCCTGTGCTATTGTCCCCAAGATGCTGGTTGGTTTTCTCTTGGATAGTAGGAGTATCTCCTTTGGGGGCTGTGTAATCCAACTGTTTTCTTTCCATTTCCTGGGCTGTACTGAGTGCTTCCTTTATACACTCATGGCTTATGACCGTTTCCTGGCCATTTGTAAGCCCTTACACTATGCTACCATCATGACCCGAAGAGTCTGTAACTCCCTGGCTTTAGGCACCTGGCTGGGAGGGACTATCCATTCACTTTTCCAAACAAGTTTTGTATTCCGGCTGCCCTTCTGTGGCCCCAATCAGGTCAACTACTTCTTTTGTGAGATTCCTGCCATGTTGCATCTAGCCTGTGCTGATACCACCATCAACAAGCTGATCACCTTTGTGGACATTGGCTTCCTGACCCTCACCTGCTTCGTGCTCATCCTCACTTCCTATGGCTACATTGTGGCTGCCATCCTGCGAATCCAGTCAGCAGATGGGCGCCGCAATGCCTTCTCCACGTGTGCTGCCCACCTCACTGTTGTCATTGTTTACTATGTGCCCTGCACTTTCATTTACCTGCGTCCTGACTCACAGGAGCCCCTGGATGGGGTGGTAGCTGTCTTTTACACTGTCATCACTCCCTTGCTTAACCCCATCATCTACACACTGCGTAACAAAGAGATGAAGGCGGCATTACAGCGACTGGGGGGCCACGAGGAAGTGCAGCCTCACTGACTCCATCCATCACAGACATGCAGGAGATACTATAATGCAGGGCCCTGGTTAAGACACCAAATAAGTGGAAATTTTAAAACAGAAATAGAAAAATTCATGCAGAGAATAGAGGACTCCTAGGAACCCGGAAATTTCCACATTGTAACCTGTTCTCAAAACATGATTTTCCATATGTCTTTCTTCAGTACCAATGAAAAGCAATTAAGGCAACCCAGCAAGGGTGGCACTTTGTATAAAAGGTCCAAATCACCTGAGGTCAGGAGTTTAAGACCAGTCTGATCAACATGGAGAAACCCCGTCTCTACTAAAAATACAAAATTAGCAGGATGTGGTGGTGCATGTCTGTAATCCCAGCTATTTGAGAGGCTGAGGTAGGAGGATCACTTGAACCGGGAGGTGGAGGTTATGAGGTGAGCCGAGATTGTGCCATTGCACTGCAGCTGGACAACAAGAGCGAAGCTCCGTCTCAAAAAAAAAAAAAAAAAGGAAACAGAAAAAAAAGAAAATGTCTGCATGAAGCCCCTGCTTCTCTGTGGCATTCATCTATATATCTCTTATCGCTTGTAGTCCCTGTATTGATACCTGTTATCTCTTTATAGGCTCTAAATAACTTTCCTGCAAACCATCTGATTTGACCTTGACAATAATTATGTGAGGTAGGTATTATTATTTTTCCATGTAACTGTGGGGAAAGTGAAGTTCAAGTAAGTGGCTTGTCCAAACTCCCTTCTCTCTGCCTTTTACTTTGATGAAAATGGTAGATGACCTTGGACTTAAAGTTGAGGGAACAATTTCATCTCAATGTGAGGGAGCCATTACACGTGCACTGCATTATGACCTGCAGAGGCCTAGTCTTTTGAGCTTGCACAGAGCTCCTCTTTTGTAAAATTGAGGTGGGTGTACCAAGGATAAGCTTTCTGGCTGTGTCACATATAGTGGGTATCCCTGATGCCTCCATGGATGTTGAAGAAGCATAGCATCTGAGTTGGTAGATGAATGCACATGCTACCACACTCCTGCATTTCTTACATAACTTTTGAGTATGAGTGTGGAGCAGGGTGGGATGAAGCATGTACCTGGCTGCAACAAGATGAGTCAGTAGTGACCTGAAGCATGTCCTAATCACTTATGTCTTGTAATAATCTTGTCAGTGTCTAAATGTGGATCCTTCACTCTCAGGACTCCCTGAGTGCTACAGATGCTTTTGTTGATATTTCAAAAGTATATGGGCAAATACAGTCCAAGAAGATCCTTACATTCCCCCAAACTCAATTCTAATTGTAAAAACATTGGAATAATGAAGGAGAACTGATTTCTGTGCACCAGAAGCTTTCTGAAAAAAAAAATGTATATTGTCAATGAGTTTGCTTGTTTGAACAGCAGAGGTGAAAGGTTAAACATCAGAATATGCATGAATAGGCAATCCAATTCAATGTGACACAGTTTTTTTCACTGTATTGCCAAAACCATGACATTATTGTCTATTCTAAATGGGGTTTTAATCTTATGAGAAAAGAATTCATTTATATATGAGGCAGAGAGATAAAACATATGACCCTAAAATAAATAAGAAATGACTCGTATAATTCAGTATACAATGAATATTATTCAGGAGAAGGAGAGAAAGAATGTGTGAGAGAAAGAGAGAGATTATGGGGCCTGGAATTTATAAAGCTAGCTTATTGAAAAATGTAAGATAATCTATAGTTTGAAGGTCTTGTAAGGTCTAGTCAGTCAAACTACGTGATTTTTTCCTGTGATGAAAACAACATAAACCCAAGATATAATCCTATGAGAATGCTCCACAGAAGCCTAATTAACTATCTTAGGAAGAGCAGCCCAAGATAGTTGCAAGCAATATTTGGCAAACATACAGAACTGCAGTGCAATGGGCACATAAACACTCCCTGGGAAAGGGAGGCAGAAATTAGGTAATCCGTCCTCTGATCCCAGAAGAGTGCCTACTTAGAAGTCAAATTAAAGCAAACATGACGACTTCTTTTTCTCATCAGGGCCAATGACACATCACACAGATAGAAAAAGGTCACATAAAAAAATTAATTGGGTGTTTTGCTCTTAATAGAGAAATATAAAATACATCTTATTATTTTATATGAAGAAAACTACCACATAAAAACATCAAACAGCAAATTTTACTTTATTCTGTATGCATAGTCAATTAGCAGCAGAGCTAATATGTGAACGTACCTCTGTGAGTCCAGAATTTGAGCTCTCCACTAGAAAGAGCTACATAGAGTCGTATTTTTATGCAACTTTACTTCTTAAGGAGTATTTTGGTTTCAAGTTTGTTTTGAGGTTATCTAATATTGAGAATAAAAAAATGAACAAATAAGGCAGAAAAGAAAAAGTAGTGTTAGCCTGTATGAATATTTCTCTACTCTTGAAAATAGAAGCTAAAAACATGCTACTGTTTAGAGTTTGAATATGAAGTATTCTTTGATGTCTTTTAATCCTTCGGCTATATATTTTAAAATTCAAATACATACATTGATATATATTCAGATACTATTATTATATATGATACATGTTTGTTAGTACCAAACTTTAAAAATAGCTGCAGGTTTAATATAGTTTTAAACACCTAGGAAGGTTATTTTCTCATTCTTTTCTAATCAGGTTCAGATTATTTGGGGCCATTTTCTCACATTGTTTTTTAGATTAATTTCCAGATATTTTATCAAGTAGTAAATAAACAGAAACATTTCTGGCATCTTAATTGAACTCATATTAAAAATAGAAATAATTTTTAATATATTTGTCATTCACATCATATTCAACCTTTTCTGTCTTAGAATGAGATATGCCTATGCTTTTGTTTATGTCTTCTTGAATACATCTCACTAGAGTGTCTTACTTTTTATGAGTGCATTCTTTCCTGTTATGACCTGATAACCATTCTAAGTTTGTATTTATCTGCTCGGATCATTTATGTAGAAATACTTAAATTTTAATACTCAGCAAGAACCCTAATTATCCTTATTTCTACGTTCCTAGAAGACTTTTCAATTTATCAGTATCTACTTAATATTTCCAGATTTATTTTATCGGTAAAATGAAGTGAAGCAAGATGGTCTCTAAGTTATTCTATATTTTGATATTCAAAAGTTCTATAATTGTTCCAGTTCCTCAGAGTTTAAAAAAGTTCATGATAAATGCCTTTTTAAATGAGTATACAGATGGTCTCCAACTTATGATGGTTTGACTTTATGATTGTATAAAATCATTCTGTTTATCATATTCAGTATAGTATTCAATGAATTTCATGAGATATTCAAAACTTTATTACTAAATAGGCTTTCCGTTGGATGATTTGGCCCAACTATAGGCTAATGGAAGTGTTCTGAGCACATTTAGGGTGAGCTAAGCTAAGCTATAATGTTTGGTAAGTTATGTGTATTCAATGAATTTTCATCTTATGAAATTTTTAACTTGTAATGGGTTTATCAGGACATTAACTTCATTGTAAGTTGAGGGTCATGGAGAAAAACAATTCCTGGGAAGCAGATAAGAAAAGAGGTGTCATAGCAAATTCTCATTTTTTTTTTTGGTCAGGCTTGGCAGTTACTAGTCAGATTTTTCTCATCTACCATTTTTATACTACATGCAGGTAGGCGGTGAAATACAGTAAGCATGATTTGTTCAAAAAATTATTTCTATTTGCATTTATTTGGTATTTTGATTATTTCATTGGGCTTAAGGGATTAGGCTAAAAATAATTGAGGGAAGTTAGTTATCTTGGTTTAAATTGCATGAACAGTATATGTATATGAACAGCCCAATATAGGAATTGGCTTTTCTGTAAAGCAGCAACCTTCTCATACTGAAAGGGTCATGTAAAAATCAATGGTTTCTGTAACTGATTTTTAAAAAGTTAAGATTTTATGTTATTTCACACACTAACCAGGTTTAATAGCAACTATCAATAGGACACTTTGTATGTATTATTATTTTCATTTTAAAGATGTGGAATTGATGTGTTTAGTGAAAGAAGAGGAATTGAGCAATCTGCCAAATATCCTTCAACTAGTAGGTGACAGTGACAGGACAATAAGCCCAAGTTCATCTAATCTCATAGCTCATGTCATTTTTTTCTACTCTTTCAAAGATATTTATGGAAAATATTATTCTTCTTAGGGAACTATAACACATACATATGGAAGAGTGTAGAAGTATGCTAAGATAGTTTCTGAACAGGCTACATATCGAAATACACCACAAATGCCACTGAGTTTACAGGGGAACCAAAGCATTCTTAGGGTAGAAAGACCTCATAGAAAGGACAGGCTTGATCTTACCCTCGAATAGCAGCTTAGATTTTTGCTACTCAAAGTGCAATTTATGGAACCACGTAATGGAAAACACTGGGCACTAGTTAGAAAGACAGAATCTCAGTTTCTACTCCAGAACTGTTGAATTCAGATTTGCAGTTTAACAGGAATCCCCATTGACTCATGTGCACATTAAAGTCCAAGAAACTTTAGAGATGTTATCAGATAAATATGAAGTTCATTTCTTCAAAGTGGGATTGAGTGGGGTGAGGAGAACAAGAGGAGATTAGTGATAAATTTAGGAGAGGTTGAGAAAATCTACTTGAATAAAGAAATGCTTATTGAACACAGAAATGTACTTGAATAGAGAAAGGTTGTAGGGGATAAGAATAAATGGATACCAAGCACATTTTAGATAGTTTTCAGTTATAAATTGAGAATTTTGTGTTGCACTGTAAATCAGTATGTGAGATTGGGATTATTAACATTTGTGGAAGGAACCAGTGAGATAAACTCTTTTGAAATTTTATCAATGTTATGCAGGATGAAGTGATTCATTAAAGGAGAGAGCTGAGAGTTGAGAAGCCCTTGTAGGAGATTATGATTATAATCCCTCAGACATAATGAAATCAGAGACTCATTATGAAATGAGTTTTTAATGACCATTACCCTTAGTCTCTCATTTCATAATGAGATGAGACCCATAATAAG